CCTAACCCAGCCGAGGGGCTGGCCTCGTATGAGCAGCCTCCCTTCCCCATTGGCTGTTAGGAACTTCGGATTCTGGCTTCCTGTACGGTTTCACAAGGAATCAGTTTCATGCTTGTTTTATTCAGACAGTCTTTCCAGTGTTTGCTTGAAATCTTCCATTTCCACAAGCATACTGCCAAGACATTTCCTAGAGCGTTCACCTGAAAAGATGATTCTGATTTAAGAGTTTGGATATCACAAACGATGTACATCAGATCAGCACTGTCTGGGAGGACACAGGACAGGACAGGAGCGCACAGGCTGTGGGGAAGGTTTGCCTGTGAGAACGAGCGATGGGTTTGTGCTGGAGACAAGAGCTGCCACTCTTCGTGGGAGCTGGGGAGAGCAGCACTCCTTGTCCTGGGGAAAATGAAGAGGGATTCGAGTTGGCAGCCCATGTTCTTCCTTGCTTCAAGGGTCACGTTACCCTGAAGAGTGCCCAGGGAGATGCTCCAGGACAGGACGTGCTGTGCTGTGGGCTCCGCACTACCGCTCAGGCTGTAAGGTCCACTTCCCCGAGGAGAGGGTATGCCAGAAGGGTCAAGGACCAATCCTGTACACAAGAAGCATATCCAGTCTCATCCCACATCTCACCTCATCCTACACAGGCCCTAATATATTCATATACCTTATAAAAATAATATTGGTGCTGCTCCCAGAGGTATGAGCTAATGGAGTCTCAACATGAGATCTGCAAGGAAGGACATCCTTGCAGTGGCATCAAATGTAAGTCTTGAGCAGAGTCTGTCGATAAAAACTACAACCATCGACAAATGCAGGGGAGCTCCTGCTCTCCCACAGAGCATGGAGAGACTCATTAAACAAGGCAGGCTCCAGCACGGTAATTGGTAACTTTTATGTGCCTAGCTAATTAGAACAAGATACTGCTGAGGAGCTGCTTTCTCCAAGATCTCGGGTCACTCACTCAGAGGTCTTTATTTATTTGCTAAGCCTTCCGGGCTCTCTGATTAGGGTAATACATGGTGAGATTTTTACAATCTTATTTATTCAATAATAGCTCGAGAGCTGGAAAGCTTCCAGGTAATGCAACCTGAGGGAAAAAAAAAAAGCAAGTGGCATTTGAACTCCATTTCCTTGGGAAGGCTGGCAGGGTCCAAGCTGAAAATGCTGGCAGGAACAGGACAGGAAGAGCTGATGTTGTACAAGAGCAGAGAGGGCAGCGACGGGGTTGAGTTAATTGCTTACAGAAGCATGAGGATAAAGTAGTGACTAAGGGCAAACTTTTAGATGAGCTGGGTGAGCAGCAATGCATGAGAACCGGGCAGGAAGCTGGGTGCCTGGTTTGGTTCCAGTTCTGGTGACGATAGTTGCAGCAGTGTTGTCAGGCTTGTCCTTCGCAAAAGAAAAGGCCCCCTTTGCCTGTGCAATCACAAATAATTCACCATGCAAAAAGCAGGACCTGTGTTGTGGGCATGTTTGCACACATGCAATTTTGCCAAAAGGGCCTAAAAGCTGGGAGGAGGTGGGAGATTGTTGTCTTTAAAGACTGTCTTTAGCATTTCAAAGTGGACAATGTCAAATATTAATGACCTGATGCTCACAGAAAGCAATGTCAGACGTGGAAAGCTACCTTCAGCAGAGACTTCTTGTGCGCGCGCTGACTCAGACAGGAGAGGTAGACCCCGTGTGTCTCCTGTCAAAAGCAGACGAGGCAGATCTGGCCAAGCACTGGCTCTGGAGCCAGGTGGAAGGGGGAGCAGTTCTCTGCCCTTTGGTGGGACTAAGTAGCTTATGCAGCAGCACTAAGTGGACATGTCCTTGCTACTGGTGAGGCTGACTGCTACACAAGCCCCTCTGTTCCCTCCTGGGTCTTGACTGAGCACATTTGTTCAGTGGTAGGAAGATCTTGACTTTAGAAACATTTCTTCTGTGCCTTCCAGTCTATTCAAGGCATGACAGTTTACCAAGATGATCAACAGCCTCAGCTCTGAAGCATTTCCTGCTCACAGATCCCCAAGTCGATCTCAATTTAAATGAGTTGTTCCGGGCCACATATTCTGGGGACGGAGTGTGCAACAAAAAAAAAGTAATTGTTGATGCTGGAGTCTGCATCAGCACAACCTGGGGGCTGGGGATCTTCCTGTCAGTGCTTCCTCTGTGGCACTGAAAGCTGAAGGATCTCTTCTCTCCTTCCAGATATCATCCCCAGTTTCTGTGATCAACGGAGACATCAGAGGGAAGAAGATTGCCAACATCTCCGACGTGTGCGAGTCCATGAAGCAGCAGCTGCTGGTGCTTGTGGAGTGGGCCAAATACATCCCCGCCTTTTGCGAGCTGCCCCTGGATGACCAGGCAAGTCCTTCCAAACACCCCACCTTGCTCTGCCCTGGCGGGGAGCTGAAGGAGTGCCAGGCAGCTGAGACCTTCAAAGAAAACGTGCATTGTTCGCTCTGTTATCCTGACTGCTGCAGCTGATTGGGAACGGCATCCATACAATGCCAGCACCGGCCATTTGCATGTGCAGCTAATCAGTCGATGAGCACAGGCATGATAACACTGAGCTCAAATGAGGTACATAATCAGATGTGCATTTTGCACGGGTCTGGCAGTCAATTATTTATTAATTATAGTTTGTGCAGCACTTTGAAAACCCAAAGTGCTATACAAATGCTTAAGGTAATCAGACTTAGTAGGACAGATTTCTAGCCTAAGGTCTGCTCATGACTTAAAAGCAAATCTGCCTGTCTTTCTGCTTCTTGCCTGGGGATGTGTTTGTATCCATTCTCCTAGGGTGGAATTATGGAAACTAAACACTAGTTTGCTTCCAAGGCAATAAAAAAATCTCTCTTCAGGGTTAAACACCAGGAATATATTTGCATTTAACACAAATTACTAAAATTACATTTGCTAATTCTATAACCAAGATAAACACAGTGGGTTTGATATCCTCTATAAAACTGCGCTGCAAGAACCTAGGCAGCCACAAAGACATGTCTCCTGTGTAGGTCTAAATTTCAGAGGTCTGCAGCAGATGTTGCAGTACATGATGTATGCCCAGGCTTGAACAGCACATGTGGATAGTGGGGAGGCTCCAGAGGGAAGGGATAGCACTTCTGGCAGGGTATAGCATCTCTGGCAGTGGCCAGCACAGGTCCTGTCACAGGTAGGAAGGTATTTCCAATCTGCCCAGTGTACACTCACAAACCCAGCGTGTGTTCTCTTCAGCTAGGATCAGTCTCCAGCCCTACTGACCTAGAGGAAATTTTTATATCACAAAGAAAAAGGATATTCAGAAAGTCCGAATATCCAGCTGATTAAAACCCCCTAAATCCTAAATCTGAGCTCTTCAGTCATCACCCAGCAGCACAGAGCCCCAGGGAATTCAGTGTTGTTACCACAGGAACATATTTCCCTCTTTTCTATTGTATGCAAGTGCTAAATTGTTTACGATAGTAAGAAATCTGTTAAACTCCTAAGGCAAATACAACTCAAAAATGATGAAAACCAAAATGGACTGCAACAGCAAATGACATTTACACAGCAAAGAGGCTGCAGCCCCGCAGAGGCTGTTGGGCAGCTCTGCATAACCCGTTGCATCTCTGTGCCATTTGGAACAGAGGCAGTAAACCTGGGTAATAACTCTGCAAACTACAGCAATTTCCACATGAGTTCATTTCACAATTGTGGGACTGCAAAATTTCTCAAAAAAGAAAACAAAGCCTAAAGATGACTTTGTCTTTGTCTGAACCCTGCCTTCCCACAGGGGATAGGCTTATCTCAGCATGCTCCACAGGCTTGTCTCTACTCAATCAGGTCTTCTGTTATGACCAGCCATCCCCCATCACGAGCAGTTCCAAATCTGTCCCAAAGGGCTTGAGAGGAAAGACTGTGTTGCATTAAAACTAATCACTTACGGACATCCATGCTTTCGAAGGATGAAGTGGGAACAGAGGCAGCAGATATTCAGAGGAGTGCAGGAAGAAGGACAGAATGGAATGAACAAAACTATGCGCAAGCCAGCTGCCCAAGGGGCATGAGAGCCAGTCAAGACATGTCCAGTGGGAACATTTAATGTTGGGAAACGCTGTTACATTGCCATTAAAATGTTGCCTGAGAATGAATCATCTCTGCTAGCATTTTTAAAGGAAAGGTCATACCTAACCCCTCATTATTCCCCTGCACCAAAATGTACTGGTTTTGGTGGGGCAAAGCCATTTCATTTCAAAGTTAAAGTTCTACTTTGTTGTGTTACAACTTTTATATTTATCCTAGTTCACAATGGAGTGATGTATCTCAGGTTGATCACTGCAAGAACAAATAATCAAATGAGATGTTTTTGCCTTGTTGAAGTAATTTATTTTAACCTTGCTCAAACAAGCAAATTTTATGGAAACAAAAATGGTGGTTCCAAAATGAGCCTTCTCCAATTTGCATTAGGTAGGGAATTTCTATGTGAGGGCTTTGCTCCCTCTTGGGACTCACAGTTTTTCCATCCTTCTCAAAGTTTCACCAGATAGGAAAGCTCAGTTTTGTGCAGCTCTGGTAATTACAAGCAGCTCAGTTAACGCATCCACCCATGTTTGGATAGCGATAGAGAGGGGCTAGATTTTGGCATACAGATAAAGGTTCGCCAGCATCATGTCTGCGTAGTCTTTTTGCAAGGACTTCCACTCTGTTTATTTTGCATAAGTCTTTTTTCACCCTCTGAAAAAAAAAAAAAATCCCTCTCAGACGTCAGCATCTTTTCTAACTAGAGCTCTCTTCTACGGGTGACACATTCTCCTGGCATTTCTGGTAGGGTAAGGCTCCTCTTGGCTTTGTCAGATGCTGAGGGATAACACACTGGAAAAGGGGGCCGTTCATTCCCATCAGGACGCACTTTTCAGAATTTCTCCATTAATGTTCAATGATTGTTTTCTCCAGCAGAGGCTCCTGGCTGGACATTAAGAAGCCTCTGTGTCAGGCTGTCCAATCGTTAACTTCTGTTTCTACCTAAATCTTTGAAATTTTTAACTGAAGGAGGGCAAAAGATTCAGAACATTCTCAGGAGCCACTGGAGGGTGTAAAATGAAATACTTCAATCATTAACGTCAGGGCAGAAAAACATGCCTTTGGCTTCCCTGGCCCAAATGCCCATTGCTGCAGTAGAACGAATGGCCAGGGGGTGACCCCACCAGCTGGGTGGACGTGGGTCTCCATGAGCATGATTTCAGTGGGAGGTGGCACGGCTCAGAAGGACAGCAGCTGTCCACAGCAGTGGATCATACTTCTTCCCGCGTCCTACGCTGGAACATGGTCCCTGGTTCTGCACTTGGTAGGAATTGCCTTGTCTGCAAATGGCCCACTGTGAACATGTCCCACTGCTGGCATGAGGTCCTGGGACATCCTAGTGTGGTTTTGCCCATGACGTGTGCCATGAAGATGGGATGTTTCAGGTGCTATTATCTACTTGTCTGCTGGATTTATAGATGTTTATGCATAGGAGTAAACAATTTTTTGACCTTTTTCTCTGACTGTGACTGGAGAGGGGCTCTCACTCCCCATCCCTGAGTGCAGCACAGGAATGCTGGGCTTTCCCCCCTGCCTACATGAAATCACAGCCTTGCCTCTGTCTCTGCATCACCCAAACAACTTTTCTCTGCCCTTGCAGGTAGCGCTGCTGCGAGCACATGCAGGGGAACATCTGTTACTGGGAGCTGCCAAGAGGTCCATGGTGTTCAAGGATGTCTTGCTGCTAGGTAAAGAGTGCACTTCTGCTCCTGGCCCCTCTGCTTCTGCAAGCTTCCCTGCTGGGGTGAAGGAGAGGGTGGTTCACTGTTTGTGGGCATCTTTTTTGCAGGGGGGTGGCTTGATCTCTTCTGTATTTTAGTGAGCCTCGCACAACCTTTGGGTGTAGCTAGGCCTGGATGACATTCAACATCAAGGCCACGACATGTGGCAAATTTGGGGGACTATGAATATTCACATTGTTCCCTCAGGTTTGTGTAAGCAAGCTGTGATGTGATTGAGAAAAAGGCTCTCACTCCTCAGTCAGCTTTTTCTCGCTTGAGTGATTCCTGAGTAAGGAGAGGCTTCTCTGGTGACACAGATTGGCATTTTTGGTGGGCTGAGCCAGGGAAGGGGCAAAAGGAGAAATTTCTTATGTCCTCCACCCTCAAAATCACCTCAGCATTGGCTACCTGGGTTTTGAACTCCTTGCCCTTGATAAGTCTTCAGCAATGACAAGGTGATGGTCTCTGTGCTGCTTGTCCAAAGGAAATGACCACATCATCCCACGGAACTGCCCTGAACTGGTGGAGGTGCACCGTGTGGCCATCCGCATCCTGGACGAGTTGGTCCTCCCCTTCCAGGAGCTGCAGATAGACGATAATGAATATGCCTGCTTGAAAGCCATCATCTTCTTTGACCCAGGTATGCTCCAGCTTTGTGAAGGTTACCATCAGAGGAGACTAGTCTGGATTATGCTCACTAATACTGGCCCTGAGTTGTGAAAAGCTGCCTGGCCCCCTCTCTGGGCCAAACTGTTCTTAGAGGGAGGGGAGAAGTCGGCTTAAGAAGAGAAAAAACATCCATTTCTGTAGACGATAGAGAATCAGAAACAGCTCACCTCAGCCCGTGCCCAGACTTCATGCTATTACTGAAGGGTAGTTCCTAGGGAAGCAGCCTGGAGAGCTTGTTCTGTGGGTTGTTTCAGATGCCAAAGGACTGAGCGACCCCTCCAAGATCAAGCGGATGCGGTACCAGGTGCAGGTCAGCCTGGAGGACTACATCAACGACCGGCAGTACGACTCACGGGGCCGCTTCGGGGAGCTGCTGCTGCTCCTGCCTGTGCTGCAGAGCATCACCTGGCAGATGATAGAGCAGATCCAGTTTGTCAAGCTCTTCGGCATGGCTAAGATCGACAACCTACTGCAGGAGATGCTGTTGGGAGGTGAGTACTTGAAGGTCCCACAAGAGTCCTCTCAGTGCTCTCTGATCACTGTCCCCTTGAGAACCTCCACAGCCAACGTTTACTACCTGAAAAAGGTGGAGACTGCCTGTATGCAGGTCAGCCCTTGACTCACACAAAATCATCTGCCCCTTTCACTGGCAGGAGTAACAAAGGGTCCTTCATTTCTAGTCACCTAAAGAGATGCATGAGCTGTGCATCTATGTACGGAGAGGCGTCCTCAGCCCTCTGCATGCAGACAAGCTTTGCTGTGCAACCCCCAAACTCCTACCAGCCATTTCACTAATAGTCCCCTGTGTCAGAAGGGAATCATCAAAACAAAAGGGTCTGAAAGCTCAGGCTGAAAGAGCGTCCCAGATTTTCTACTGAGAGCATCCAGTGGGACAAAATAAAATGAAAACTTGCCATGTGCTATTCTTCACGTGGTTGTGTGACTCAGGAGGAGAGAAATATAATCCTGTATAAGAGGAAATGCAGGCAGCAGGCAGGGTTGCTGAGCCCAAGGCATCCATGGGGGAAGATGGGGAAGGTGTGCTCCAATCACATATGCACAAGCTGATCATGCACACAGCCTTGGCCATTTTGCTACAGTGGGTCTGCCCATCTGAACTGTCTCCTTCTGTGATTGTGGCAACTAATGTCATATGCACATTTTTAGGCTCGTCAAGTGAAACGCCACACGCTCACCACTCCCTGCACCCTCACCTGATCCAGGAGAACCTGGGAACAAACGTCATTGTGGCCAACACAATGCCTCCTCAGATGCACAATGGGCAGATGTGTGAGTATTGCCAGACAGATGGAGAGCTCCCAGGAGAAACCAAGAGCTTTCCAGCATGCCTGTGGAGGTAGTTCCTACCTTGCAAGGAAATATCCATGCAAGACAGAGTCTCTGATAACGAGTGTGTGAGAAATTCCTATGTAGAAAGGAGGGAAAGACAAACAGAGAAGTGGTTTAGATTAGATTAGGCTAGACTAACTGATTTAACAAGATATTCCCTGACAGACTGTAACTTCTACATAGCCCTTAAATTTAGGGATGAATGATCCCATCCAGTGCCTACTGAAATCAGTGGAAAGGCTCCCCTTCCCTGGAGTGGTTCAGATACACCTCACTTTGTCCTCTGCAAAAACACAGACGACTCTGGTTCACCACACAGGACCACCACATGGGGCCATCACTTGGGAATTTAGGCTGAAATGATCTCAGCTGACCAAAAAAGTGGCCAGTACCTGTCAAAATGCCAGTAGCTCCTGTCATTCGATGTTTGTTACTGTGGCTCTTCCAGGGCATCTAACCATGCCTGTGTGTCCAGGCTGCCTTGCAAGCACACACACAAGCCATTAGGAGCTATGATTTTGCTACAGAGCCTTTGCTTTGCTTACACCTGAAACTGGTACGACTGAGGACAGATCCCAATGCTGTCAAGTTTTCTAATTTTATTTCTCTCTCTGTAGCTACTCCAGAAACTCCACAGCCATCTCCACCCGCAGGCTCAGGACCAGAGCAATACAAGCTGCTGCCCGGAGCCATTGCAACCGTGGCAAAACAGCCCACCTCCATCCCGCAACCCGCCATCACAAAACAGGAGGTCATCTAGCAACCTGCAGACTAGCTGGCCTTGTTTAGAAGACTGTGTGGGAGGAAAGTCCAAATTAACTCTGTCACTGTGAAAAGAGAAGCCATCCAGAGATCCTTGGGCACAAACACACAGACTTGCTTACTGGACTAGTCCACCACCACCAAAAGCTGTCTTTCTGCAGCTATGGACAGCGTGTGCCACGAGCAGCCCCGAGTCCCAGAACTAAGGTTGAAGCCTTACTGAAACCATCAATCCTTGTACGAAGGGCCAGATTTCTGCCTCCCTCCATGAGGAGGTTGCAGTGACTGGCTGGAGGCAGTGCAGCTGGCTCTTCCCCCAGTGCCACCTCTCAGCGTTGGTTCAACACACAACAGACCCTGTGAACAAGCAATTCTCTGTGCTGCATGAATGGAGGGCTTCCCTCCCACAGCCATGCCAGCTCCCCAAACAGTCCCCAGTCCAGCCAAACTTGATGGAGATGGAAGCTTCCCCAGCAGGTCAAGCATGTGGGTGTTGTGCAGGCAGCACTGGCAGAACTGCTCCTCAGCTTTGGCTAGTCCCAGGTTTTTGCATCGTGTCACCCTCCAGCAAACTAACCCCCCCAGCCAGGTCTAACAAATCTTTTCAGGTGATCCTGGGGCAAAGTCTGGCCCACCAGGATTCTCGACTATTTGGATCCTTCTGCCTTTTGAGGGGTTTTGTTATTTCTGTGCCATGACCACCCTCCCACCAGAAGGCTCAGGGAGGAAACCACTGCCAAATCCCTCCCTTACACCACTTACTGCCTCCTCGCTACCTGGACTGGGAAGTTGGGCGATCATGGGATTCAGGAGATTTCAGCTACTGTGACAGGGTCACCCCTGTACAGGCTGGCGGTGGGCAGCACTGCCCAAAATATCACTAGCCCCACTATTGCTTCTCAGCAGTCAGAAGACGACCACTGGATACCTATTTGGAAGGAAGCAGCAGGGAAGGACATATGAAGGGGAGACACCTGTGATGGTAAGAAGAGCCCAAGCCTCATAGATTGGACCAAGGTCTTGGCCTACCCAAGTGCTGGGAGCATCATGATCCAGGATCTCAGTTCAGACCCAGCATTAAATATGCCATATAATCTACTTGTCCAGTCCAGTGCCACTCCCTCGGCTTAGACTGAGTGGCTGATAACAGATTTATAGGTCTTCATAACACGATAAGAATTCATTATGGCTCCTTCAGACCTCAGCGGGTTTGAGGGCAGCAACCTCAAAAACACAGTGCTTCGAGTCCTGCAGAGAAGAACGACAGAGGTCAAGGAAAGACCTTGTCTCACCCAAGCCCCTTGAGTCTGCCCTAGCCTTGGGTCTGCACCCTCCCTGCCACAGTCCCTGTGTCTCTGTGCCCGCCTGTGCCAAAACCTCGCAGATCTGACCTTTGGTTTACAGCTGAATCCAGGAAAGGAGCCCTCCCGCACCCAGCGCTTCCTCTCTGGGTGCAACTTCAGGCCTGAGTCATTTTTGGCAGTGCAAGGCAACAGCAGCTCTAACTGACCGTAGGACATGTGAATTGCTGGCCTCTCAGGAACAAGCTGCTGGTGGAACCATGGCTGCCAAGAGGTCCCTGGCAGGGACAAATCTGAGCCAGCCCAGCCAGAGGAGCTGCAGGTCTGTCCCTTGATTTCCAATGCAAAAATGAAACACCTCGCCTTGCTGTCAGAAGTGTTGTATCATCTCCCAACGCTGGTGGCATTGTACTGAGTAATTTATTGCAATGATGAATCCAATCATTTTCTGTAAATTATTTTGTAAATCACATTGATTATTTATAATTGGGAGATTAAATGCAAAAAACCACCCCATAATAGCCAGGTTGTCTTTTCCAACTGCAGCAACCTTTTTTCCTGTACGTAGAGATACTCTGTGGGGAATCATTTTGGTCCATTTACACCAAGCATTCCTTGATACTGTACATTAATTTTTGCTGGTTACTGCCTTCCAATGGAAACAGAGGAGTATTTCTTCACTAGAGTTTGTATTCATAAAAAAAAGAAAAGAAATAAATGCAAAAAATATTTTCTAACTTTTCCCAGACAGATGGATTTCTTTCTTCTGGGAGGATTTATTTTAAATCAAGGGGCTCATCTCCTTGTTGGTCTGAACACAAAGCATATGTGTATTGAGGAAAAAGCCCAAACAAGTGCTTGATGCTGTCGCCAGCTGTCACTATTTCCTGGCAAGCACCATGTTAGCTGGTGTGTGTTCTGAAGCCATGTGTGCTGGAATCATAAGACTGAATGACAATCCCAATTTTCTTTAAAAGAAAAACAAACACAAGGAATAAATATTTTCTTCCACAATTCCAGAAAGACTAAAGACTTTAAGTAACCACACTCTCAAAGCCAAGCAAAGGAAGCCAAAATATGTTATTAGCATTTCAAACATGTTCATTTTTAAGTTCCTCTTGTATTTCAAAGGTAATTTCTGAGCACTTTGGGGTGGTGATTCTGCTTTGGTTCACACAGGGCCAACCTACTGTTGGCAGCAGGTGCAGCCAAAGGCAGACTGAGCCTGCAGGGCACAATAAGATGGTAAAGTGAAAGTCAATTTGTCTTTCACTTTTTTCATTACTGGTTGTAAAGGTGAAGAAATACACTGACAATTAGAGAAGGATCTTAATGACCTGTGCTTCTGATCACAGGAGCCTGCTCTCAGCTGTAGCATACCCAGGAAGATAACGGGAAGAGGGGAGAGAGGTCTAGATGGCTGTAAAGATTAGGTATCTGGGGAGGAACAACATTCCGCATTTTCAGCGCTATCTGCAGCAGACGCCCCTCATGTTCCCCAGTCTCCCACCCCGATGTGAAATAAGGTGGGCAGTCTCATCCTAAGTACGAGGGATGAGAAGCAGCCTGATTTTCCATCCCACTTGCATATCCCGTGGCCTCCCAGCGACAGCCGTGCTGGTCAAAACTGTCAGCAGGTGTGAGATGCAGGGATGAGATTCAAAGCTGCGTTTGAGCATCATGTGGAGACAGCACTTAAAACCTGCTTCCACTTTGGGGGCAAGGACCCAGGAGAACAGGACAGACCTCAAATAACATGCCCTCAAACCATGTGCACCTGTGAGGATCCAGAGCCCCAGTGCCATCAGTGAACGCCTGAACAAGGACAGCAAAGGCAGTGGCACAGCATGTGTTATCTCAGCGCACTCACACAGTGACTGAGTGGTTAGTCCAAGGAACGGGAGTTAGTGCCTAATGCAGAGTAAAAACCAGGACTCCTCTGCCTGTCACAAGCACCCTGTGACCCACGGTTGGTTTTACCTGGATATATGCCCTAAAAACTCCATATATGTAATATCAAATCTTTGAAGCAATAAATTCTCCTGAATTCCTTCCCATGAACTGCTCTATCATAGTTGCCCTTTACCTGGTTAATCTTAAATCAACGCAGTCTGTACAAGAGGTTTCTTACTGCTGGATTCCACTCACTTGGAAAAAACCCCACAAACTGCCCCAGAGACAACTTCGTCCTTAAGTGGCATCCTCAATCCCAATCCTCATCTCTTCTGTTACTCCAGCCTGGAATCACCCTGAGACACTGGTCTTGCCACTCATGGGCTGTATTTTATCCTGCTGGGCTCCCTGGAGCCCACAGCCCATGTCCCAGGAAATGGCTGCCATAAGGACAGCTAATATCAGCCTTTAAGACGCAACTTCCTTACGTTGTTTTTGGATGTGAGAGCTTTTTACTGTCCTCTTCTGTGCTTGCAACCTAGACTAAGGATGATTTCCTGGAAAGCAGTATTTCCAGCTGTGAGATCTTTTCACACTGTCCAAGCAAAGATCCGTGAAAGTGGTATTTTTAGGTCCTCTGGCCACTGTAAAATGCATTCTTTTCATATTCCTTATATAAACTTTATCTGAAACAGCCAACAGGCTTTGGAGCCTTTTCTACAGCTTTCATATCTCAGTGAGGAGAAAAAAAAAAGGAATGGCAAACGAGTTTTATGGCCTGTATATCATCTCTGACAAAGCAACTATTGCTGCTATTAAACTTGCAAGTGCACACACAGGCACAGATAGTCATGAACAACAAGAGGCAGAAGGGACAGCTCAGCAACGTGGCACTGCTGAGCCAGGCAATTCTGTGTGCCAGGGTGGCCAGTTCCCTCAAGGCTGAGTAGAAATATCACCAACCAATTTGGGAATTCAGGTCATGCACTGCACAATCCCTTTCCACTTGGAGAGGCTGGAGGAGGAAGGGTAAGGTGTGGGTATGTTTAAAATCCCTCTCCCCGTTCCTAATTGAGGTGTGACCCTGATAATCATAAACACACCTAGCACCTGAAAAATTGCCAGTGGGGCCAATAAAAATGGCAATATACTGTCAGCTTTGTTAGGTGTGGAGTGAGCAGGAGAACTTGGCACAAACAAGACTGCAGTCACATCCTTCAGTTTAGTGTCCTGGGTAAGAGAGAAGAGGCTGCTGGGGTCAACAGAGTGCTCCTAGTTCAAGACCAGCAGGAGAAGAGCTCTGAGCCTAACCTGGGTCTTGGGAAGGAAGGTGGTTTGGGAACGACATTCCCAAGGCTTACTTCGTTTTTGCACCTGGTGTGATGCCAGGCTTGCCTGATTGTGGCTGCTTCATCAGCTTTCAGAGGCCCGAGGCCACCCCTCACTTGGGAGATCAGCCATAGAAGAAGACATGGGTTACACAAACCACTGGTCTCCATGGCCAAGCTCTGTTTCAGCCCCTCACACCTGTCAGCTCTGCCTGGCTGGTACCTGCAGTCCCTTGTGACTCCATGAACACATGAAGACCAGGGAGCCCTTCTGAGCCTGGGGGACCCCACATCAGATGACTCTGGTCTGGGGGAGCTGTTGTGATTGCCAGCCTCCTCCTAGAAACTGCTATGGGTGCAATAAACAGTGTAAGAGCTGCCTGAGGGACATGCCTGGATAGACGCTCACAGCATTGCGAGTCGGACAGGAATTCCTCACTGCAGCTGCCAAGCCAGGTGTTAGCACTGGCTGGAAC